CTCAGTATGCAAACGATAGTTTATTTTCCCTTGAAGCATATATATATTCTGGTCACGTAGGGACATCTGCAAACAAACATAAATATAGGTTCGTTTTTAAAATCTGCTCTCGCGTAGAAGTACGGATTTCCTTGTGAGACGGAATTTATATTTATTAACAATTTGTTGCGGATAGGGCCCAAAAATGCTGAGTTTTTGCTTTGGTATTCAATAAAAAGAAATGAACGTCGTTTATTCTTTTTTGATGGATGAAAAAATAATCTATTTCTATCTCAATTAGAACACCGCATAAAATATACATATTCGATTCCTCAAATATTGAGCTTCAAATATTGCTGTGAAAATTAATTTCTTTATCTCAATTAGAACATTTTAATTTGTAGTTTTGTTCCCCTTATGAAGCTTCACGTTATGATTGAGGCTGAAAAAAATAATCTATTTCTATCTCATTTAGAACACCGCATAAAATATACAGATTCGATTCCTCAAATATTGCTGTAAAAATTAATTTCTTTATCTCAATTAGAACATTTTAATTTGTAGTTTTGTTCCCCTTATGAAGCTTCATGTTATGATTGAGGCTGAAAAAAATAATCTATTTCTATCTCATTTAGAACACCGCATAAAATATACAAATTCGATTCCTCAAATATTGAGCTTCAAATATTGCTGTAAAAATTAATTTCTTTATCTCAATTAGAACATTTTAATTCGCAGTTTTGTTCCCCTTATGAAGCCTCACGTTATGATTGAGGCTGAAAGAAATAATCTATTTCTATCTCATTTAGAACACCGCATAAAATATACAGATTCGATTCCTCCCTTATTGAGCTTCAAGTAATGTTGAAATTTTTTTTTAATATCTCAATTAGAACATTTTAATTCGCAGTTTTATTTCCTCCATAAAACTTCAAGCTATGCGTAAGGATAAAAAAAATATTTTCTTTCTCAATTAAAAAACTGCATAAAATATTAAGATTCGATTCCTCCCGTATTGAACTTCAAGTAATATTGATTTTTTTTAATCTCAATTAGAACATTTTAATTTGCAGTTTTATTTCCTCCATATAACTTCAAGCTATACGTAAGGATAAAAAAATATTTTCTTTAGCAATTAAAAAACTGCATAAAATATGGAGCTTCGATTTTTTCCTTATTAAACTTCAAATAATGCTGAAAAAATTAATTTCTTTATCTCAATTAGAACATTTTAATTTGCAGTTTCGTTCCCCTTATAAAGTTTCAAGTTATGTGTGAGACTAAAACAAATAATTTTTTTTTATCTCAACATCATAACGGACAACAACAACATTTTATAACGTATTTATAATTATACTAATCCGCTGTATAAAGCATTATTAAAAATATACAATCAAGGATCAATGGAGTAATGAAGAGCAGTAAGTATAATTAATTATTTAACATTAGAACGGATTTAAAATTCTAGTCATCCGCTGAAATTATTTTTGGATGAAAAAAAAAATGTTTTGTTTTAAATCGCTTTATTATTTAAAAAAAAAAATTATTCCAATTTTGGAACTACGATGCCGGCTCGAAGATTCAATCAAGCACTTCACAAAGCAATCCGAAATTTAATGAATCAATTGGCGCATCATTATTTTACTTACTCAGCACAATTTTTGATGACTAATTGAACGAGGAAAAGCACTTTTAAGCTCTCTTTAAACTTATTTTTTGCTTCCATTTTTTTTGAAAAAAACTTTACAATGGTGGTTCATGGAAACAAGTCTTTATTCGCCAATTAAATTAACTAAAAAAGGTTGTAGAACTCGAAGACAGAGTTTCATTTTGAAATATTGACATTCGAGTAAGAATGTCGTTACAGTAGTGAAAAAAAAAGTTCGGAGTGAAGTAGTATTTGATTTAGTAATTTATTTTCATAGTTTTACAATTAAAATAAATCAATGTATTTAGAATAATTTAAAAATGAAAATAATAAATATTGTGTATGATAAGTAACGCTTTTTGAATCCGATTTATGCAAATAAGGAGTATTAAAAAGAGAACGTTCCCTCATTAACCTTCTCTTGGTTATATATTCCTCTCAGAAAATTAAAGAATGAATTGTTAAGGATGATCACTGAAAATGGCCATTCTTGCAACAGCCAGTTGTTAGTCAAGGAGTTTAGGCTCTTGACTAGCAATATAATAGTGGCTGTGTGGTCAGCCATGTTTATTTCTCAGACCCATTTTATTTTATTCTATAACCGCCAGCCTGATTCTTACGACTATCCATGTTCCACTCCGTAGTCTTGTTATTTTGAACCCAACCCAGAAAACAAGGGAACTCCTGGATCGAGTATTGGGACAAACTAGTCTTCGTGGAGGAAATTTTTGAAGCCTTCCTAATTGAAAAAAAAAACACCACAATGATAAATGATTGTCAATGACAACGGATGAAAACGATCAAAATAAGTCTTCATAGGTGAAAAAAAACATCCCAATGATAAATGATTGTTAATGACAACTGATGAAATGATCAAAATAAGCCTTCAAAATTGAAAAAAATATCAAAATGATAAGTGATTGTCAATGACAACTGATGAAAACGATCGAAATAAGCCCTTATTATAATAGGAAAAAAAAAACATCAATTATCATCAAGTATTGGATCATAATCACTTATTGCAGATTTAGATCAAAGCAAGGTGCGTAAAATTTTATTCGAAAATATGTATAAAAATTGCATATAATTTAAAAAGTTAATATTTGCGAATTCGTAACAAAATGTGTCAATAGAAAGCTTGCCACCCCCCCGCCAATCCAAAAAGTTTTTTCTTAAATTTTTAGATTTGGTATATTTCAGTTTTTAACAGCTGAAAAACTGTTTGAGATAAATATTTGGAATTACTTTTAAAGACACAAGAACTATGCAAGATAGTTTTTTTTGACGAAATCAAAAAAAAACTTGTAGTTTCTTATAAATTTAGATAGTATTCTTCCTTCTTAAACATTTTTATTATCAATAAATTAAAAAAAAAATATTGACCAAATACAAAACTTAAAATGTTGTATTATTGAAAAAAATTAACCTGCTCTTATTTCGCCGATGAATAATCTTTCTAGCAAAAACTTCGGAAGAGATTTATTTTTATTCATTTTTAACGTTTTAACCATTTTTAGGAGTGTTTTAACTGTTGAAATGGTATTTATATGAAGGAGTCTATGTATATATTGAAATTATGAAGTGAAAATTAATTGGCAGCTAATGTACTTCATTTAAACCGTTAACAATTCTATCAACAACAAACGAAAAAGGAAACTTTTTTAAGAATTCACCCCCTAGCGTGATAAATACTAGAGAGAGTCAGATGGTGATGAGCAGATCAGCATTGCTGCCATCTGTTTCGGAATTCTGTAACTCTCCTCTCGGCAGTAAACAAGTTTAAAAGATCTAAATGGTTTCACACCACAGAATTTTAATCGACAGCCGAACTCATTGTCCATAGTTAAATTATTAATCTGAGGAAATAAAAAATTAAATTAAGGTAAATAAAATATATAAATCGTGGTAATTAAAATGAAAGACACACCACCAAACTTTTTTAAAAAAGCACTTGTTTCCTTCTGGAATCTTATTGAAACCCTCAAAAAGTGGTATAATTTGTCTACGGTTAGAACTCCTCCCCCGGCCGCAATGTCTGAGGCCGTCTGCTGCTACGGAAACAAGAATAGCGCATTTCAGGGAGGGTAGTTTCTCATCACTCTAGGGCTAACACAATAGACCGAAGAAAAATATTTTCTTTAGTTATACCTTAGTTATACCTCGCTACCATAGTCACCTCACCTCCACGGGTCCAGACGGATGGCTAGGGGAGTTCTTACTTCAGACAAACTATAAAAGTTATGTAATGTTGTGGGATTCTTCTCAGGTGGTAATGATTCACTGTCATCCTATTTTTTTAGGCAAAGCAAGTCATAGAAACGTATCAAAATATGACAATCCATTTGTAATTATTATTATTTTGCTGTGAATATAACATATTTAGAGAAATTGTAGTGAAATTATATCTCCATCACTTTCGCCACATATTTTCTATAAACAAAGCTATGAATTTCTTAATGGAATGTGTCCTTTAAACTAATAAAAGTAAAGTAGTCATAAATTTGAATAACATTAAAGTATCAACTATTTAAATGAAATAGCTAGAAAATTGCGTTATAAGAAATTTAAAGAAAGTAATACAAGTCACAGTAAAAACATGAGAAATATCAAATAAATTTTTAAGTGAGTAAAACTCTTCAAATTCTCAATAAATCTATCGACAAAGAGCATTGAAGGGATTCAAATAATCAAGAAACTAATTATTTGTCTCGCAAAAGTAAATGAAGCGTCCTTAAGTTTCATTATGAAGTAAATGAGTGACTTAAATCCCTTTCTTGTGATTTCTGATACTTCAGTTTTGTGAAACTGTGCAAAGCCTTTTTGTGAAAGTTCTTGTCTTCGTAATTTTTATAAAATCTACTCAAATCTTAAAATGGGATAGAATCGAGTTCTTTCTGTCAGAGTCCTGTTTTTGTAGGCATGTAAAAAAATAAGTCTTTATGATTTTGTTTAAAAAAAAAGAAAGAAAAAAAAAGCCCTTATCTTTAAAATGAAGAAACAAAATTATGAATATCCAATTTTAAATTAAAATATTTTGTGATAACCGCTAAAATAATTAGATTTTTTTTTCTTAAGGGTTTAATTTAGGATAGAGGTTTAAAAACGTATCTTATCAAAATAGCAAATCTTTTTAACATCCTACTTAAAAACCTAAATTTCGCAAAAATAGATTTAAATATAGTTGTCTCCATTTTTATGGAAGTTAATAGCATTAAAAGTGCGTCTCATTTATAGCAAACAAATAGTTAATTCGAACGTTTTCCCAAAATCACGTCTCAGCCAGATTAAAGCGTTTTATTTTTGGAAAAGTTTTATAGCTTATTTGTGTGCGTGGGTGAGATGTCAGACACCAGGTGGCGGGACCACACCTACCTGTGGCACGACTGACCAATCGTTTATTTTGTCAATCCTTTTATCACCTGAACAATACCGCGCAGTATCCGAAAACGGGAGAGTTCTCCCAAAAAGTTTTCGCGCGGGGAGAAGTCCTGAAAATATTCTTTTTTAAAAATCTCTTTTTCCATCCTTGTTTTTGAGGAGATCAAACGATAGGGAGAGTAGCGGCCTGAGAAGGGTGTGCGGAGAATGAATGTTCCCGCTGCTTTGGTGGTACTCATACTCCTCCTAATAAGTTGCTCAGGTGAGTACTCCCCTTTTTTAACACACCACCATTATTCATTTTTGAAGTACAGAACAAAAATTATACACACATAGCTGCCAACTCCACTTGATTTTGTCAGTTTCTCCCGATCTACAGGCTTAATTAAAATTCTCCTGGTTTTTGTACATTTTGGAAAATTCTCTAAAATAAAGTCAGTCTCCTAAAAAAATCCCTATTGAAATAGAATTTTGCACAGATTATTGCTTTCTTGCTTGAATATTAAAATAAGTATTACTAATACACAATGAAGCAAACCTCATTTATAGAAATCACTTCAAAACTTCTTTTTGTTCGAAAGTGCTCAGTTTTTTTTTTTAAATTCAGAACTCTCTTTTTAAATGAATTAAAAAAAAAAATCTTTTAACGATCTTTGAATTAAAAGGCCTTTTGCTATTCTATATTATGGGTTAACATAATACATAACATTTTAAAAGCATGTTTAATGTCAATCATAACTGGAAAATATTTCACTTTTTCGATTTCGATGACTCTAAAAATCCTGAAAATTCCCTATGAGTGAAATATGCCATATATTATGCAACAGTTATATGAAATTTCTATTCTTTCGTAAAATCTACTGAATTTTTTCCTATTCATGTTGGCAGATATGTACACAACATATTTAGCGTTTTTTTTTTGTTGTCAAAATGATTTGTTTCCCTTCTGAAAAAAGAATTAAAAAAGAAAGCGTTTCAGTTTTCGAAACTTTATGGTTTTCTCTATAACTCCCTTTTTTTTTCCTAAACTAAATTTTTAAATCAGAACAAAATTCGCCTTGAAGCGTTCTTTCCCGAGGGTGTTCTCAACAAAAGAACGATCTCCGCTGCTTAACGATATACTTACCACCTTCGAAGCACTTTTATGAAATAAAAGCTTCTGATTCTAAAGGTGATTATTTTTGTTACATTAAAAACTGTAATTTATTTTAGCCCTTCAGTTGAGTTCCGCACAGAAATTTATTTTACAGCAATTCAGTCATTTACTATACAAGGAATGAGTTGCAGGTTAAAATTCAAAACATCTATTCTTTTTTATCGTGTTTTAACCCTTTATCTACTGCATTACGAACTACTGAACATATTTTCATACATATATTTATTTTTAGTTAGAGAAAATGCAATGAAAAAAATCTCCCCGGTGAGAAATTTAATTTGTTGGAACTAATTCATTAAAGTTATACTTAAAAGTACCAAAGTGGTGCTTAAAAAGTACCGCCAGTGGATAAAGGGTAAAGCACCATCGTGAAAAAAAAGGGTTCACTAGAAAGCTTTTTAAATTTACTGGAAATTAGTATTATAATTTTTTTTTCATGTTTAAAAAATGTATACTTCATTTATAATTGTAGTATCAGTTTTTATTGTTGAAATCAGCAGGGAAACATGATTGAAATATTTATGAAAAACATTTAAGCACTCATAATAGTAGTTTCTAGGGTTGTAATCAGCGACCCCTTAATGAGGAACACGGTTGCATCCTTTTCCAATTTTTTTTTTAAATAGTAATAAAAACCTTCTGTACTTGAAAGAAAAATATTTGATAATTGTCTAAAACAAGCAATATAATTGAATTAGTCTGATATTTGTCATGAAAGAATGATTATTAATGAATGATTATATTAATGAAAAACAATACATTAGGTCAGCAAATGTGAAAAATTCGGATATTAAGTAGAGGCACACATCATCGGTGAAATCCATTTATTTTCTAAAATATTATAGCGTAATTTTTAGAGTAATATTTATTTAATTAGAATGATTCAGTGATTTTACGGTAAAAACTTACGGTATATCAGATTTTTTATTCCGTATAATGTGCCGGTAAAAATGAATTTTACTTTACAATGTACCGACCCCCTGAGAGTCGGTACTTTTTAGCGTAATTTGATATGGAATTTGTTACTGTGTGTGCGTAATAAAGACACATTTGAAGTTTCTCATTTGTCTAAAGAAATTACTGAATAGGTATTTTTTCAAACTTATTGAACTAGGTGTTAATTATAAAATAAACAAACAAAATCCAATATTTAAAACTTCAAACAAAGTGTAAACCAACCTATGATTGTGGTTGGTAGGCATACATACAGCATTCATATGGAGGTTCGAATCCCGGAAATTCTGACTGAAGTAAAATATTCTCATAAGTTGTGGGAGATTATCTTTTCCACGTAATGCTCTGGGAAAAGTAATTCGCGAAGATGTCCTTGTTTTCTGGGTTTAGCTCAAAATTGATTGTCGTACACAGCCGCCGGTTATGACTAGTGGAATTATTTAGCATTCATTTTAGTTTATCTCCAGAGATTATCAAACACTGGATTTGAAAAATTACTTTAAATTCCCAAAAAGCACTTTCCCTTTTTGCGTCATAAAAAGATGCTCATTGGACAGAACTATCACGTGATAAAAGAGATTCATACATCTTTGACTTCCATTAAATTAATATCAGTTACGACGGCGTTCATTTGTAAATTATTTATTTATTGTTAACGGTATTGACAAGTAATATTTATTTATCATCCCTTCTTAATGTCTTTCTCTGTTATTATTATGTTTTTGACAGATCATCATTCAAAATTAAAAGTTTAAAACAAAGTGCAGTTTCTGCATTATATTTGAAAAAAAAAAGTAATCACAATGCACAATAATACTCTGAAAAAAGTTACAAAAGGAATGTTCGTATTATTATTATTAAGCGGTAAATTTTACTTTTAAATAAACTATATTCATTTTCATATCAATTTTATGAAAAACTGTTCTCTCAGACGCCGATTAAAAGGATGAATACAATATATCTATTTATTTATAAAATGAATGGTTTAAATTACTATGCAATAGGATTCATTATGATTTCGTAGCTATCATCTAATTTTTAACCAGTTACCTACGTCGGAGGCTTTAATCCTCATAATATATAATTATACACGGCTTTGCAATAAATATATTATTGCTTTTTTTTTTCATTTTGGTACTCAAATTATTAATTTATACGCATATTGCTTCAAATTTTCTATAAAGTTGGAAGTTTATCGGTTACTAAAACAACTAACTTTTATAGTTATGCTCTAAGATTATAGATTGATTTAATTTTTATTGAATATTGATAGTTGAATAAATTATCAACTAACTTTTAATTAAAACTAAAATAGCTAATTTTTAGACGTGTAATTATATATTGTTGTTGGTTATTGGTGCAAAATTAGCTATTGCTACAGAACCACTAACAGAACTTTAGATGAAACTTTGAAGCCATGATCAATTTTTTCAAATTGAAAATACATATCTCTAACTAAAATAAGTTACATTAATGAAATATTTAGTATTATTATAGATATTTCTTGTCAGAAAGTTGAACATTTTACTAAATAGCTTTTTTAAAGCAAAATGTACATTTCAGTTTTAGTATCAAAAATTTAAAAAAAAAAATACAAAAGGCACAATATAAAATTAAAAATTTGATGATCGTGAAATTAGTTTTAAAAAATACTTTTCATATTTTGGGAACAAGTAATGTTGATTATTTATTTAAATCGAAGTAATCCTCCATTTTGTTACGATTAACACTAAACATACCATTACCGGTCAAATGACCGTTAAAGAACTTTTGCATCAAAAATGCGCCTATTATCTTATCGTTTTTGCACATTTGACTTCATGACTTTTTTCTAACAATTATATACACTTAATATTCCATTATTATTATTATTATTTTGTTTGTTTCGAAAAATACTTGTTGTATGCCAATTTCTACCACTACCGGTCATTTGACCGGAAGAACCATTTATTGCGTTATAAGATTACCGGATCAGAAATGACGATGTCATGCGTTTTCAACGTATTGCATTCGATGAGTTGCACATTTCTGCAAAATGACTGTTGCGTAGTGAGTTCAATCAGAATAACTGCGAATACAAATTTCAAGAAAGTACCTACCTAAAGTTTCAGATTGGCGTTTTTGTGTCAGAAAAAGTGACAAAAATTAAATTTTTTGGTCAGTAGCTTATATTTTATGTTGATAGCTTTACTTCATATCTAACTAACTGCTAGACTTTACCCAGAAAAACGTCGAAACAATCAAGACAGCATAAGTTCTTAGAAGAAATAATATTAACTATAAGAATAATTATACGAAGTATAACTCTTATATATTCTTATAGTTATAAGAATAATTGTAAGCATAATTGAAATAATAATCATTAGAAGAAGTAAGTTTGCGGAAAATGTACAATGGAAACAACCTGTACATGTAAAAAATGCGTTGAGCAAATGCAATGAAATGAGAGCAAATGCAATGAATTAAAAATTGTTATCCTTTGTGTTTGTAATACATAAAAATTGGTAATATACAATTTTGTTTAATTATAATAAAGTGTTTTTTAGTTTATTTCCTCCCTAACATTCATATTTCATACATTCAATCAAGAAACGTAAATTACGGTCATTTAACCGGTTATGGTAGAAATAGGTATAGATTAAGTGTTGGTATGTTTAGTGTTATAATATATGAACATAAAATTCTTTCATAAATATAAAATTCCCAATGTACTAGCAAAATCCTAACTAACAAATAATTCTTTCATAATACATAAGCAAAGTATTCTTTTTTAAAACGACTTTTAAGGAAAAAAGAATGTGAGGCGAAGATGGGAGTCACCTAGTTTAAAAATCTTTTTTGTGACACATCTGCCAATCAATCAATATATATTTTTTTTTTAGTTTCTCTTCCACTAAAAATGAAGTAATTTATGCAAAGACCTCCGTGTAATATATAATACATTTATGACTTAAAGGTTAACACACGCTTTTTATACATTATTCAGGCATCTTCAAAATGTGCTATAGGGAGGATTCAAATTTTATTTATTTATTTATATTGCTATTTCGAATACACGTTTTTCTTAGAGAAATGTATTGCCAGCACTTTTTAGGTAGAATTAACAAATAAATATTTTTATACACGACTAAAATATATTTTAATAAACGTCA